TATCTATTACTTACGACGTGGCAGACTTTGGGGTCTACCAGCCACAAAAACCCGCCGCAAGGTGGGAATCAAGAGGGGTGGGCGAGATGCGAAAAATAAAAATAAATTAAAATATTCATCTTGCCGTTATCGGTTCCCTTATTCCTTCCATCGTGGTCAACCAAAGTTTCATAAAATAGGAAGGAATCGCAGAGAAACACATCCAACCAATCAGGATGTACATTAATTTAGGCAGCCAGCCCTCTCGCGAGCGTTCTCTTCAGAAACTTAGAGAAAAAAGAGAATCTCATAAAAAGCCCACATGGTTATTGCCCACACACACACAACATTCATTACAGCTCGCGCCCTCAATGCTCACACACCATTCGCTGCCACACTGAACCACAATCTACGCAAGCCGACGAACGCGAATGGTGGCGACTGGGTCCCCCTCCGCCCACCAAAGCTCCTCCGCCGTGGACAAAGACGCCTGGCGCATGCCGCCTCGCTAATTACTTTCCCCAAGAAGACCAGCTCCCTCAACAGAAAAATTGCGCGACCGCAACGCGCCATCGCTCCAAAGAAGAGTATTTTTCGATAAGTGCACGGTGCGCAAGCCTTCTCCCACTGAGACTTCAGAAGCTCTTTTTTTTAATACGCCGCACAACTTCGCCGCAAGCCGCTCCATCGCGACACGGCAGGCGTCCTGCTCACGTCCTTCTCCGTCCCCGCTCGGCACCGGGACACTCCAACGCTGGCACAAAGGAAGCAGCGCCTCAAGCCGCTGCGGAGCTGAAAAGGTGCCAAACAAAACAGCCAGAACAGACGCGACGTAGCCTGAGGGGCCGCTCCGATCAGTCGACACGGAGCCATCACCACTTGCCAAATCACTGCCATCGTCAAGATCAGGCATCTCACGATCAAGGCGCAGCGCGGCGAAGGTGCGCCCGGGCACGGCGTCCAGCCGGTACATCTCCACCGGCTTCGGCACACCACGCAGTGCCACGCCGCCAAGCGCAGTCACCTCCACCTGCTCGCGCTCAGCCGCGCTCAGCGCCATGTACGCCGCACGCGTCAGCAGCACCTGCCCGCCGTTCCCAACGCTCTCCGTGCGCGCGGCCATGTTCGACGTCCCGCCGTAGTAGTCGTACCCCTTCGTCACCTCGTCGCGCCGAATCTCGCACAGCCCGGTGTGCACGCCGACTCGCACGCGCAGGCCGTTCCAGTACTGCCGGTACACAGCATCGTCCAGGCGCGCGGTCGGCGGCGCGTGCTCCTCGTCCTCCCCAGCACGGTCCTCCTCAAACTTGTGGTACGCGTCGTCGATCACGCTCGTCCCCCAGTCGTGCTGCAGGAACACCTGCTGCAGCTCCCGCACAAGCTGCACGGCGGCGAACACACTCTTGCACGCAATCATGAACGAGTCGCCGATCGTCTTCACCTCGTAGCAGCGGTACTTCGTGATCAGCGAGCGGATCAGCCGGTGGTGCGTCTCCACGGCGTCGGGCATCACCTCGGGACATGCAGCCCACAGCGCCGTGCTGCTCTCGATGTCAGTGAACACAAGTGTCACGGGGTCTGTCCGCTCCTTCGGTGCGTTAGCGTTGTTACGCGAGCCGCGGCAGAAGTGCAGCAGGAACAGAATCAAGGCAATAAGCAGCAGGGCAGCAACAACGCTGCCGACGATGACGCCAATCAGCTGCCGCGCCGTCAGTCCTCTCGCAACGGGCCTCCGGTACTCCATCGACGGCGTCACGGCAGGGGACAGCACCGGCACAGCGGGGTCCAGCGCACGGGCAAGCGGCCACACCGAAATTTGCGTCGCACCGTAGTTCCTGCCGCACTCAGCACCGCTCTCAGTAACAGGGCACGCCTTGCCATCAATGAAAGGCCCGTACAGCATGTCGTCCACGGCGCCCTCGACGTTCGTGTAAAGGAAGTCAGCCAGGAGCTCAGCGCTGATACGGTCCATCCGCAAGAAGACCAGATGCGTCAGCCTCGTGGCTGCGAAGCCCATCATTGACAGCGGCGTCCGGTCGGCGGCGTCCGGCACAGCAATGAAAAACTTCTTGGTGGTCTCCGACGTTGAGTTTTCGTCGTTCCAGTGCGGCAGGCTCGTCGCAAACACAACACGGTCCGCACCCGCACCGTCACGGAACGCAGCAACAAACTCAGCGTGCAGCAGCGCAAACTCCGAGAACACGACAAACACACGCACACCGTCGTTTGACGCCACGTGCTGCGCGATCGCACCAACATCGTCGGTAGAAATGCCCACCAAAAACACGTCGCCCTCCTCCGGCAGGTGGTCCGCAAGCACGTCGCCGCCAGCCAGCAGCGTTACGGATGCCAGCGACACGCCAAACGTCACCAGCGACCGCCGCAGTAAATCCGCCATTGCTGCAGCCTCCCCGCTGCGGATCACTGCGTGCGCGGAGCCGCCACTCGTTTCCCCAAGGTACTTCGCAATCACAAAGAACTGCTGCTCCAGTGTCGGCGACAGGCGAATCACGTTTCTCCGAAACCTGTTCAGCCGCGGCTCAAAAAGCAGCGGGTCAATGAAGGTCACACCCCTCCACGTCCAGCATCGCATCCGTCACCACTCC